TTTTTTTTTTTTTATTTTTCTTTTTAAATTACATTTTTGTATCCCATTCCAAAACATGAGACACAGCCTGGAAGCACAGCTTCAAACAGAAAAAAATAGCAAAAACTGAGGGAGAAATTAATTTTTAAAAAAAAACCTGAGTACAGTCTAAACATCTGGTTCAGGGTTTTTTTAACCCTTTTGTTGTCCCTACTGAATGAGCAACACTGGGATTTTTTTCTCTGCTGGTTAAGGATGAAAATCAAAAGTTCTTGATGAATTTTCCAAAGAGAAAATTTTGGGTCAAGCAAAACATTTGAGAAATTTCCCCACTTTTCAGTTGGATTCCAGTTCCTTTATGGGTCCTGTAGGGAATTAAAATACAGGTGAAATTAGCAAGTGGTTTGGAAAGGATTGGAATTTCCTGCTCTGCACAAGGAGATATTTTTATGTATGGGGTTGTTTCGTAATAATAGAGGAAAAAATGAAGATATCATCTTGTTTCAGCCTTTCAGCTGCGTTTCTGGAATTAGGAAAACACCCCAGGGAATGGTCAGGGATGTTCAGGGATCCAGTCCCTCCTCAGGGGGGGCTGTGCCAGTGTCTGGCTGATTCCTTGGCACCCCCTGGGTGCCCGAGGGGGTTTGGGTTTGGGCTCAGGTCTCACCAACCTCCTCCCTCCCCTCCCACCCATCCTGGTGGCAAAGCTGTTTTGAATCCAAGATGAATCAACTCCTTTCTCCCAACTGCTTCATCTCCCAGAAATGCCATATATTTATTTAAGCAACGTTGTTTTCTCGACTCAGAGGCTTCCAAGGAAGCGGATTTCCCTGATTTTGGGAAGGGTTTTGTGGCTGAGGCCTGTAGGGCTTGGCTGCAGCAGGTTTTAGGCACTTTTAGCTCATTTTATGGGCTTTTTTTGGGGGTAAAAAATGGGTGGATGCTCTGCCCTGGGAGGTGCAACTTGCAGCTGGCCTTGAGCAAGTTCTCCTCGACTGGTTGTCAGGGAAGGATGGGGAGATGTATCCCAGTTTTCCACCCTGATGGAGAGAGGGAGACATCCCATCCCTGCCTGGGAGATGCCTGAGGAGCAGCACAAACCCACTTCTTCTGCTCAGTTCTGGCTTGTCAGGTTGGAAATCACAGCGACCTGAAGGTCTCTGAGTGGACCAGTTTGAATGGTTGGGATGGAAAAAATGCTGCTGGAGCCCAGGAAGTGTGTGGAGGGAATGGCAGGGAGAGGAGGGAAAGGAGGTGCTTTTTGGGAAGAGCCTCTCCCAGCTGCCTGTTCACGGCACCTCTGCCTGGAATTTCTCCGTGGGTTTGGCTCAGTGTGTAAAAAAAATCCCCCTGGAAAACCTTTCCCTAAATGCTCCTGGTTAAAGTTTAGGAGGAAAAGCCTTTGTACAGCAGGGGTGTGATGTGCCCTGTGTTCTGCCTCCGTGTCCTGTGGGAATTCAGGCTGGAAAATCAGCTGGGGAGACCAGTGCCAGTTTTTGGGGCTAGTTTTTGTGAGGATAGAGCTCTCCTGTGCGGAATTATTTCTCATCTGCTTGTTCTTCACTTCCATGCATCTTCTCTCTCTCTCTGTCTCTCTCCATCCCTTAACTCTCTCCCACTGAAGTGGGACTCAGTGGGACTCTCCAAGTGGTAACTCTGGACTCTCATTGATGGATTTTTTGCAACTTTTTGTGTGCTGAGGGCAAAAATCTCAATTGAAATCCTGTCTCGTTGACACAAGTGAACAGAAACCCAAACCTGTGGTGTTGCCAGCATTTGATGCTGTCCATGAATTATAAAGGGAGGGAAGTCTGGGCTTTGATTTCCCTGTCTCTGAGGCTGGACAGACATGGAAAATGACCTTGGGCACGCTGGAAGGAAGATCTTGGAGATTCCAGTGGTTTGTCTCAGAGTTTAGGAGATGGGAGAGGTTGTTACACCGGTCTCTTGTCTCTCCAGCACGGAATGAGAGCACAACATGTGTGAAAAGATAAATAATGGAAGTGTCCAAGGCCAGGTTGGACAGGGCTTGGAGCAACCTGGGCTAGTGGCAGGTGTCCCTGCCTGTGGCAGGGGGGTGGAAGAAGATGATCTTTAAGGTTTGTCTCAGACATGAGAATAAAATGACCTTAAAGGTCCCTTCCAAGCCAGAGCAGGCTGTGATTCTGAGGCAGCTCAGGTCAGACCTCTGGGAAGTTGCTCCAAGCAGGGAGGCTAAACCAGGGATGGAAAGGGTGAGCAAGGCTTGGTTTGGGTTGAGTGAAGCACAGGAGCAAGAATCAGGGCTCACAGGGACCACTCTACCTCTCACCTCACCTGAGGCTCCAGCAGGTCCCTGCTCTCACCCACAACCTGTTTCCCTTCCTCAAAAATGTGCCCATGAGCAGAGGTGCTCCTGCCACACGTTCTCCCTGTGCCAGCCAGGAGGGTGAGCAGGGCTGCACCAGCAGCTGCAGCTCTGGAAAACACTGCCAGCCCTGTGCCCAGAGCCAAGGCAGGGTCTGCAGCCCACTGACAGCTCTCTGACAGCACTTGGGGCTGCTGGGAAACACAGACAGGGTTTCTGTGCAGAGACAGAGATCAAAAAAAAAACCAGCTTAAGGAGCTCTCAGATGGGGATGAAGTTCCCTCCCAGCAAGGGGCCCTGGCCAAGCTGCCCCTGGGGGTTACAGCTCAGGCAGCTCAACCCCCAGTGCCCTCCTCAGGCTCCACATTCCCTTGGAGAGTGGAAACACTGAGGTTTGGCTGATATGGCTCCAGGTTTGGCTGACATGGCTCTGGACAAGGACGTTTCCAAAGAGCTGGTGAGAGCTGAGGAGCTGATAAATCATCAGGTTGCCGAAGGGGAAGAAACCCATCCTTTAAATGTGTGGCTCAGGTTATCAGCAAGGCTTGGGGAGTCCTCCCTCCTGTCAGCACGTCCATGCTCTGCTGCCAGAGGGGTTCAGGGGAGCCCCAGCTTTCCAAAGCAATTCCTTGCTTACCAGAATGATGAATTTGCCCTGGATGATGATGGGGGAAGGAGTAGCTGCCAGGTCTGAAAATCTTGGAAGATGCTGATCCTGAGGGACTGTTCCACGTTTGGATTGAAAGAACATGGTGGCAATCACAGTTCTGCTCGTGTTAATCCATGGGGAAGGTCTGGATGGGGCTGTGTAGCTCATTGACTGGAAGGGAAGGAGGAGACAAGGATGCCCACAGGGCAAGGAGGGAAGAGCCAGAACTCAGGGGTCTCCAGTGGGAAGGATGTGGACACCTTCACCTTCTAGCAGCCAGTCCCAAGCTGCCCCAGGTGCTTGAGCCACATCACAGGGCTCAGCAGCCTTGTTTCTGAGGTGGTCCCACCATGGGCCCACTCAGGGACTGCACATCTCCTGGACAAAGCCCTCCTTGTCACTGGAAGTGCCTCCCTCATGTCCCACTCCCCAGCCAGGCCGCCTGCACAGCTGGAAGGGGCACAGCCACCTTCAGGATGGAGCTGCAGATGCAAATCCTCCATCAGCTTCCCTCCTTCAGCGCTGCCAGCTCCCATTTGTTGCTGTTTCTCCTGTGGTAAAACCAAAATTTAGGTGTAGGAAAGGGTGGCGGAGGTGGAGTTGTGGTTTATCGCTGCTTTGGGTACCAGCCACACGTCTGGAGCTGCAGCATCACTGGAGACTGTCAGGAGCAGGGCAGCAGGCTGGGAAATGGGTTCAGAGCATCCCAACTGGCTGCTTTTGGCAGAACTCCTTGTAGGATTTCGGTGCAGTGCTGGCAACCCCCTCGTTTAACCACTGGAGCCACTGTGGTGTCTCAGCCCCGCTCCTGGACAGGAGCCGAGATCCAGGAGCTGCATTTCAGCACACAAAAAGTTCCCCCATGTCTCAGTCTGGGTGTTTGAAGGGCTGGCAGAGGGGAGGGCGGGGTGGGGGGAGGAATCCTGAGCCACCCTCACGGCGAGTGTTTCCCTCCCCAGCGCCTGGTGAGGATGAACATGCCCATCTCCCCCGAGGACCTGACCGTGCACTTCACATCCACGCTGATGGCCCTGATCAGGACTGCCCTGGAGATCAAACTGGCCTCAGGTGAGGAGAAGGGGATGTCTGAGGGGATGGCACAGTCATCTGGAGGGCACAGCAAAGGCAACAAGGGCAGTTCAGCTCCTTGGCACCCTCTGTGCCGTGCCATGGTCACACAGGGATCAGGGAAGCTGGAGCCACATCTGGGCTTGGACTTCATTATGGTACAGCAGATTTCTTGTACACAGGAAAAAACCCAACCAAACCCAGTGCCCTGTGTAGCCTCTTCCAGAGCTTTTCCATGGCTTTGTCAGCCTCCAGCCTGTGCTTTCAGGATGAGAGCAATTTTTATCATCTGAGCTCTGGAAAACCAGGAGAAGACAATTCCAGTTTGCTGAGAGCACACGTGGCTCAACCCCAACTCATCTGCTGGCTTGGTGTCCTCTCAAAACCACAGGAATTCTGCTCCAGGTGGAAATCCTCTTTTCCTATTGCCAGCACCCGAAGGCAAGGGAGCTTTGGGGCAGGGACAAGAGGGATCCTGAGCATCCCTCTGCCTTTGGAGTGGCTCCATCCCTGGAGATGAGACGTGGAGAACTTTGGCCATCCCAGTGGAGAGCTCTCAAAGGAGACAAATCCTTGTGTGTGCTCATTGCTGTTCAACAGAAATGAGAATTTCCACACCCCTTAACTGTTCCAGCATGGGGGAAAACCAGCCCTTCCTTCCCAGTTGCTCTCTGCTGGCAGCCAGGCACTGACTCCAAGTGCCCTGAACCACATTCTGCCTTGAGATAAAATTATTTAAGTGTTTAATCAGGCGTTTACTTGACTTCCCAATTAAACTTTGTAATGTAATAAAACACACTGGCCTTTTCTCTGGGTCACTACAGCATTTAATCAGCCTGGCTGGGGTCACAATCAAGGCATGCCTGGCCCCAGCACTTTTATGCCTAATTTAAAAGTTAACAGGAGGTAACAACGCTCTCATGAGCACAGGGCAAGGCAGGGTTGGGGTTTGTGCTTTCCTAAGCAGTTTTAGGCCAGCACTGCAACCTCCCTGTGTTAATCACCCCCCTCACGTGTTGCTGAAACTCGGATGCTTTGGGTTGGCACTGCTGGAAGGAGACAAACTCTGGAGGTCACTGGGGCTCCCTAAGGGAGTGAAACCTGGGGAGTGATGCTGAGCATCAGACACCCGTTTCTAAGGATGCCTTTAGGATTTCCTGGGACTTTAAAGGCCAGCACCTTATTTCAGGGATAATGTCTAGATGAGGATGCTGAGAGTTTGTGTTATTTTCAGCTTCCAGTTACCTGGTAACTCAATGGTAACTCAAACAGCCTTTTTAACTGGAAAAGGCTCCCCCTTCCCCCCCCCCTCTTTTTTTGGCTCTACCCTGGAAGGAACCAGAGAAGAGAGCTCAGCTGATAGCATTGGATTCTTTCTCTGCTTTCTCTCTGCTGTGGGGTGCGAGGTTTTGACCTGTTGTGTTGTTATGAGCTCGTTTGAATGGGTTTCATGTGCTACATTTAATTGAGTCTTTAGTAGGACTAACAGGCCCTTAATAAAGCCTCCCTAATGAGCTGCTGTGTGGGAGTTCAAACCACCGTGTAACAGAGTACCCAGAGCCTCCTCCCAGTACTTTTCTCTTAGAAAAATAATCTCTGTCATTCAGATGAACTAGTTAATTGGCTCCTGTGCAGAGCATTCAGCTGGGAGCTGCCCTGTTGGCTCACACAGCCTTTAATCACTTCCCACTGCTGCATTAAGGCCTCGCTGTGCCCCTTTGAACAGCTCAGCTCTGTTTTACCTTGAGATGGAGCTGCTGGTACAGAACAACCTGCAGTGTCTCACTGCCAAAGATTTTGGGAAGAGCTGGTGGCAGAGGGGGTTTATCACCCCTCATGGCATTGCTCAGTGGAAGGTGTCCCTGCCCACTGGAGGGAACTGGAGGATCTTTAAGGTGCTTTCTGACCCAAATCATTCCATGATTCACGTCCAACACCTCCTTTGCATCCCACCTGGGAGGTGCTGCTGCTTCCTGGGGGTGCTTCCCAGTGCCCTAAAGCAGGAGGCACCTGCAGTCAGGTGGAGCAAGTCTGAGCTTAAGTTTAAGGCCCAGGTAAGAGCAGAGGGTCAGCAGGTTGAGGTGATGATGGTCCTGCTGGATTCACACACTGTTTTCATGGAGGGAGCCACCAGTTCCCTTCTCCACATCTGCTGCAGCTCTGCTGGCTCCCCCTTCTCAAGGAATGGGAGGATGAGGATGCAAATGCTGGGATGTGCTGCCAGGACAAGGGTTTTCACTCTCCTTCCTGTGCCTCTCCCCTCCCTCTCTGCAGGTGGAGTTAAACAGCACCAGTGTGATGCTGAGCTGAGAAAGGAGATCTCCCTGGTTTGGCCCAACCTGTCCCAGAAGACTCTGGATTTGCTGGTGCCTCCTCACAAACGTAAGTGGTTCAGCAGCAAGCACTGGATCCAGCCCAGCCACTCAAGAAGCCCAGGAAAGGTTTCCCCCTCCTTGCCTGAGCTGTCCCAAGCCCCATCTGGGCACACAGTCATGTGGAATCAGCTTCTTGGCATCCTCTGTGCTGCCATGCCACGGGCACACAGGGACCAGGGATGCTGAGATCACGTCTAGGCGTGGACTTCACGATGCTACAGGAAATTTTCTGTACACAGGGGAAAAGAACCCCAAAACGGTGGCAAGAAGGCCAAGAGTGTGGCCTTTTCCGGGGCTTTTCCATGGTTTTGTCAGCCTCCAGCCTGTGCCTTGCGGGGTGGGAGAGCAGTTTCTCCCATCTGAGCTCCTGAAAACCAGGAGAAGAAAACTGCAGTTTGCTGAGAACTCGGAGAATCAGAAGTGAGGTCTTTTGGGGACTAAAGGCCCTTGGGTTGATGATGCCCTGGGAGAATGTGCTGAGAAAATGGAAAGTTTGCCCAGCCAAGGCTTCTGGGTTCCTGATTAATGAGGAGCAGTGCAGAGCAATAAGGGCACTGTTAATTAAGAGAAATGAGGTTGTGAGGAGGTGCCAGTCAGTGGGCAGTGACTGCTTAAGTCTTTCCCTGCCCCCTGTGTCTGCTGCCCCAACTCCCTGCTCCATGGTGAGTGCTCCAGTGCTGTGTTGGGAAGGGCTGGTTCTGGCTCTCTGAGGGCGGAAAAAGACATCTGGAAAAATGAAATGCTCTTTAAATGTTTATTTAGCCCCTTATGCCCAGGTTGACTGTAATTCAAACAAAGAGGAATGAGGCTTTTTTTCCTTGATAACAAGCTGGCTGTGGATCTGGCATGAATTTAGCAGTTCTCTCAGCAGTGCTTACAATGCCACAGAGGTTTCCTGCCTGGTTTTTGCTGCGTGATCTCTGTGTTTGATCTCAGATGGGAGAGGCAGCAACAGGCAAAGAGCTGAAGAAGTCTGTTGTAACCTTTTCCTCATCATTTTTTTCTTTCTCCTACTTTTCTGTGTCTGTTTTGCCTCCTTATTCTGATGTTTCTTCTCCCCTCTCCTTGTTTTTTGTACCCGTTTGCTGTTATTTTTTGTGCTTTTTGACTCACCCTGCGCTTCTCATCCTTGGAATGTTTTCATGTTTCAATGTCTCACCCTCCTCTGGCAGCTGATGAAATGACTGTGGGGAAGGTCTACGCAGCACTGATGATATTTGACTTCTACAAGCAGAATAAGAACAGCAGGGAACAAGTCCAACCCCCCGGAGGCCTCTGCCAGGTACCCACCAAAAAGGTGTTTTACTCCATCCTCCCTCTTGGGCAGCCCCTTTTCCAGCATTGAGCAGCTCTCACCAGCAAGTTTCATCCAGAAACTCTGCATTCTTCTCCAGGCAGGGTTGGAAAATGCTGTCTCAAAAATCAAACCCCCTCCTGAAAGTCTCTCTGAAAAACCATTTAAAAAAAATTGTTACAGTCGCCTTTTCCGGGAGATCCAGAAAGACTTTTTCCAAAAAATGTCAGCTGATGTTTGACAGTCTAAATCCTATTTTCAGAAGTGGCCCAGGGACTGGGGAACACCAGAAGATTTCTTTGTGGGCATCAAAAAATTAGTGAAAGCTGAGGGTAGTTTGGCTGTAAAATGTTGTGAGTTGCTTTTGAAAATGGGAATTATTGAAAATCGTTTGGGCTCTAATGGGAATTATTCAAAAACATTTTGGCTCTAATAGATTTTAAGTTTTTTTGCAATTTCTTGGAAGTATTTCTTGAAAGTATTTCCACCCTGAGTTTAGCTCAGTTGGTTAAAACTTGGTGCTGGTCATGCCAAGATCATGGACCATTTATTTAAGAGTTGGACTCGATTATCCTTGGGGATCCCTTCCAACTCTGAATATTCTGTGATATTTCCAAACAAATGGCTTGGGATTGAAACCCCAGTGGTTTCCAGTAGGACAAATAGCTGTTGTTTTTAGGGTGATCATCCAGCTGAGCTCCAGCAGGGCACGGAGATCTGTCCTGCTCGTGGGTGGCTGCAGCAGAGCCCGTGTCACAACCTGAGGGAAATCCCATCCCTGAGGGAAATCCCAGTCTGGGAGAACACTTAGAGGGATGGGGGATTGCAGCATGACTTGCCTTATACAAAGCTGAGGGCAGCAGGTCCTTCAGAGCCTCTCCCAGCTGTGAGAGAGGGCTGGGCTGGGCTTTGTGCTGGGCTCATCTCCCAGCGTGGCAAAGTGGACTTTTGTTAAAAGCCCTTCAGCCCATGCCAGCTGTGTCTCTGACACCCTTCCCTTGTGCTTGGCAGCCTGGCCCAGTGTCCCTGTTCCACCCCTTGAAGGCCACCCTGGAGCAGACCCAGCCCACAGCGTTCAACAACGCCAAGGCCTTCCTGCGCCAGAAGAGCTCGGCCTCCCTCAACAACGGGGGTGCTCTGTGAGTATCCCCTGACCCCTCACAAAGCCCTCACTGGGTGTGTCCATCAACCCCAGTTCCATGGCTCTGGAAGTGGGAACACCAAGACCAGCAGTCCTGTCAAACCGTGGCCGGGACGATTCCCGTTGGTGGCTTCCAAAATGCCTCCGTCTGTCTCTGCTTCCCGCTGCTGCCTGGGGTGGGACACTGGGGTCTCCAGACCTTTGTGTTTCCTCAGTGGTCTCCCTTGAATCTTCATGGCAGAGCTTTCCATTGTGGGTGGTTGTGCGTGGGAGTTTCCTCGTGGGAATTTGGGATCGTTGCAAAACAACCAAACAAACCCCAATCCACCAAGGAGTTCCTGGGAGTCCAGGGGGTCCTTGGGAACAAGGTCATCCCTGGAGCTCAGGGCACTTGGTAACAGCAAGAGCTTCTTTAGACTTGCCACGGCAGAATGTGTCTCTTTGGGCAAAATAATCCCTCCCCAGAGAGCTTTCCAAGCAGTTCTAGGAGCAGTGATCCCTAAGGAATTCTCCATTTCCTGCTCTCCAGGTGACTTTCCTCTGGGTCACACAACTGCTGTGGATTTTTAGGGATAGACATCCCAAACAACCCTGATGGGGGCATTTTGGAAGCCACCAGTGGCTCAGCAGTGAAACCCGTGGGTGCCACTGGACTTTGAGTGAATGTCCTTTAGTTTTGGTGTTTGACCACTGTCCAGCTGTCCTGCTCACAGAATTGGCCTGAGCTCCAGAATTCTTTGTTCTTCTTCATCGGGAATTAAGTGACAGAAATTGCTTTTCTCAGTTACTGAAAAAAAAAATAAAAGATTATGGCTGTTGTGATTTCCTTGTTCTTGTGGGATCTTCAGGCTCTGTAGGATGTGATCCTGGAAAAACCCAGGGGACCCGATAGTTTCACCAGCAGCTCTGGTTTTCCAAGTTTGCCACACTGCGAGTTCAGCAAAATCATCTTTGTGAAGGAGTGACTGTTTTTCCTTCCCTCTTTTCCTTCTGGCAGCCCAGCCCCAGAGGGGGGGATCAAAGAGTCCAGCTCCTGGGGGACCCAGCGCACCCAGGACGTGTTTTATGAAACCAGGACCCCGGCTTTTGAGCGAGGCCACTCCGAGGAGATCCCCATCGAACGGGTGAGCACGTGGGGGGCAGGTGGGAGGGCAGGGCATGGTGAGGGGCAGGAGATTCCACAACTGTGGCAGGACTTTAGAAATCGTAGCAAATGTTCAGGAAACCAGGTGAAGAGAGGGTGACACGCATGAAATGGTCGAGCTGCCCCGGGAGGCAAGTGTTGCTCTTACAACCCCAAATTTGCTTATGGGGGAAGACCAAATCCCAACAGCTTCCACAGCCTGATAGCTGTGATGGGGACACCCTTTCCATGGAATTCTGTCTTGCTGCAATAGGCTACCTAAGGTTATCCCTTCCCATTATCTCAGCCCCAGTGCCATCAGTGTCCCAGCTCAGGTGAGGGGTTTCACAGGTCACACCTGAGGCTCGTGGCTGGTGGAAGAGCCCGGCCCAGTGCTGTCCTTGCTGCAGAAAGCCCAGCAGACAGAGAGTAACCTTCTCCACAGCTCTTCATTTACTCTCTGTCCCATCCCACCATCTCCTCACGACGACATCCAGCCTAGCAAAGCATGCTCAGGTGACGGCTTCAAAGCTCAGGTGATGGCTTCAAAGCTGATGTTCATGTTCTTGCTACTGAAAACATGTCATGTTTCCATCAGGTGGTAGAAATGAGGGAAATCAGCCCCACAGTTGCCAATGGAGAGCCCCAGCCAGGCCTGGAGAGCCAGGGCCGGGCGGCCTCCATGCCACGCCTGGCTGCCGAAACCAAGGTGAGCGGGGGAGTCCTCACTGCTGGAGGGGGCCAGGAACTCAGGGGCCACTCTCTCTGCTTGTTGTGTTGCTCGTGGATGTTTGTTTTAGGAGATGTTTGCTGATCTGGAGACAGGAGACCTTTATTCCAGCAGGTGTTGGTGTGTAGTCCCAGCGCTGTCCCCGGTTTTACTCACCCCTGGTTGCAGCAAAAAGCAGCCCAGAGGGATCCATCTGGCTGGGGCTGAGGGCTGCCCACCCAAGGGTGTCCTCACTGACTGGGGGCAATGCCACTTGCCAGAGAAAGACATGTATTTCCCATTGCCAGCTGTGGGTCATCATCAGACAGCCCAGCAGGACATGCTCACGTGCCTTGGCCTTGAAAAAATCAGGAGATGTGCTGTGACTGTCTTAGATGAATATAGGAGAGAACAGTAGGGAGCCTGTGCCTGGAATACTGCACTGGGACACTGAGCATCCTCCTGGATTTTCCTCTTCCCACCACACTCAGCATGTGCTGTACTGTTCTTGTCCAGTGAAATGCTGTCCAGGAGATCCCTTGGGCGGCTTTTCCTAAAGAAATCCCAGTTACTTCTCCAGCAATTTGTGGATACTGCTTAGTGTGTAGGATGTCAGAGACCATTTCTGGCCATTCCACATGTTCATTGCTGACTGTTTGTCCCAAGTACTCTCCAGCCACTGCCCTGCCTCCTGTGTGTCAGAACATCTCAGAACATCTCCCCACTCACGTCATGTCTCATTCCAAGGGCCTGATTCCTGATCAGGAGGGAGCAGCCTGGGTTTGGGGGCTGTTCCCATTGCTCTCCATGGGAAGCAGAACATGAAAGAGCTGCTGCACCTTAAAACTCAAAGCCTGTGCTCTGCACACACAGCACCAGGTCCAGCCCATGGAATCTTTGTGCTCCCAGCAGGGAGCCTGTGCCTGGAATGCTGCTTTGGGACACTGAGCATCCTCCTGGTTTTCCCTTTTCCCACCATACTCAGCTCATACTCAACTCAAACTGTGAGTTTGGCCAGTGAAATGGTGTTGAGGATTTCTCTTGGGTAGCTTTTCCTAAAGAAATCTCATCAGAGAGTTGGCTTTTACAGCAGCTTGTGTGTGTGTAGGATGTCAGAGACCATTTCTGGCCATTCCACATGTTCATTGCTGACTGCCCCAAATACTCTCCAGCCACTGTCCTGCCTCCTGTGTGTCAGAACATCTTGTGCCTCATTCCAAGGGCCTGATTCCTGATCAGGAGGGAGCAGCCTGGGTTTGGGGGTTGTTTCCATTGCTCTCTGTGGAGAGATATGGAAGAATGCAGCATGAAAGAGCTGCTGCACCCTAAAACTCAAAGCCTTGTGCTCTGCACACACGGCAGCAGCTCCAGCACATGGAATCTTTGTGCCAAGGGCTGGCACAGGCTGCCCCTCAGCAGCGAATTTCCCAGCTGGCTTCAGAAGGTGCAGCCTTTGGGTGAGCTGGGATTCGCTGCGTTATCAGGAGCACTCCCCAACATGCTTAATGAAAGCACCAGACCCCAAAGCAAACCCATCCTCCCTGCCTTCCCCCTTCCCAGGGCAAAGTTATCCTTTATCCTGCAGCACCAGTGGCATCTTCCCGTGCAGGGGGATGCGGTTGGCAGCAGCAAGGCCAGCAGCGCGAGCCTTTCCTTGGGAAACTCCTCTCCGTGGCAGTCAGGTTTTGCAGAAGGGAGTGTCCCTGGCAGAAGTGCGTGGTTTTGTGTCCCCCAGGGCGTCGCTGCCCCTCGTGGAAGTGCCTCATCTGGTTGTGAATCAGGCCGGGAATCCCCGAGCAGGTCTAACCTCATTTAATAGCACACGTGTAAATAACACTGGTCGTGGCTTTGGGTGAATAACTGACGTACTTTCTGTGTGTGTCTCCTCCCTCCCCCCTCCCTCTCACGTGCTGCTCTGCCCCTCCCCAAACTTTTGAGTTCTTTCTAACTCTCCTTTGCGACGCTTTCTGTTTCTGGCTGTCTCCCTTTCTGTTCGCCCGCTGTCCCTCTGTCTCTTTTACGTTCCACTTTTTTTTTAAAAAAAATATACCTTCCCCGTGTTTTCAACCTCCCCGTCTGCTGTCCTGCCCCCATCCCCTCCCTCCCTGGTCGTCATGGTGTCTGCTGCCCATCTGCCGCGATGTCTGACAATGGCTGTACTGTGGGGCTGCTTCCAATAATGTCTCTCATCTTGTCCGAATTGTTTGCAGAGGAGCAAAGCACGGTCGCCTGGGAGTTACCTGGCAGTATGTAGTTTGCACTAAGTTGTATATCCTCTTAAATTCACGCTAAGAAATTATTAACCTGCCTTTGAACCCTCTACTTCCCCCCCCCCCTTCTCATCTGGAGCCCAATGCAGCCGCTCCCTCTTCCCACTTTGCTGTTCCCTCGATCCACGGTTGTTGCACGTCGCACGTTCTGGTAGCTGGGGGGGGTGTTATTTGGTTGTTTTATTTATTTTATTTGTTTTGTTTATTTTATTTGTTTGTTCTGCTTCTTGTCTGATTCCATATGCCTCGTTGCACGGGAAATTAGGGAGTGAAACCAATGGGTTTGGTAACGAAGAAGCAATTAGTGACTCTCAGTGCAGCCTCCTGAGGTTTTTTGGGAGCCTGTGAGTGCCCTGTTACCCTAACGAGGGCATTGCCAGGATTTATGGAAAGGGGATTCATTGCTTTGC